CCACCTTAGGTGTATGTGGCTGGCGCCTTAGCCGCTTGAGCCACAGGCGCCGAGCCTGTACTTTTGATCTCTCACCCGTCTCCCACCCTCCTCTTGTCTTGGTTTCCAGGGTTCATTATACATTTTATGTGCATATACGCCCATTGTTTAGCTCCCACTTTTAAGTGAGGACATAAGATACTCGTTTTTCTATTCCTGAGATACTGTACTTGGGATAATGGCTTCTAGTTCCATTCAGGTTGCTGCAAAAGACATTTTATTCCTTTTTACTGCTGATTAGTACTCTGGGGAGCTGTGTGTGCATATGTATGTATGTATGTGTATATGTGTGTGTGTATACATATATATACACGCACATACTACATTTTCTTTATCCACTTATTAGTTGATGGGCAGTTAGGTTGATTCCATATCTTTGCAATTGTGAATTGTGCTATAAAATATGTATTATTTTAACTGTATCCTTTCAATTAGGGATTCAGATAACTAATATATAAGGTTGTAATTTTGCAGTTTTTGTGCTTGTATTTAATATTATTTTTATTTGTACTACTCTTTCCTCTGAATTTTTATAGGAAAAAAAGGCCTAAATTATTTACTTTTACAGATTATTTAAATGTATGATAATTCGGGTTTTAGAGATTTTTTATTTTTATTTATTTTTTAATTGTTGAGGATCCATTAAGGATACAGAGAGCCAGGTTACACTGATTGCATTTGTTAGTCAAAGTCCCTCTTACAATTGTGTCCTGCCTCCAAGTGGTGTGTCACACACTGATTTCCCCTCACCCCCCTTTCTCCTTCCCTTGTCCACTCCTCCACTCCCCCTATTTTCCACCATGTACTAGGTCATCAGTTGCCCTCATATCAGAATTGAGTACATAGGATTCTTGCTTTTCCATTCTAGTGATGCTTTACTAAGAAGAATGTGTTTCAGCTCCATCCAAGTTAATACAAAAGATGTAAAGTCTCAATGAGACAGAATCTTACTATGTTGCCCTCAGTAGAGTGCTCTGGTGTCACAACTCACAACAACCTCAAACTCTTGGGCTTAAACCATTCTCTTGCCTCAGCCTCCCAGGTAGCTGGGACTATAGGCACCTGACACAATGCCTGGCTATTTATTGTTGTTGTTGTAGCTGTCAGGTTCTAACCCGCCAGCCTCAGTGTATGTGGCCAGTGCCATAACCACTGTGGTATGGGCACCAAGGCAGGCTATTTTTTGTTGTTGTTGTTGTAGTTGTCATTGTTTAGCTGGCTGGGGCTGGGTTGAACCTGCCAGCCTCAGTGTATTTGGCCGGAGCCCTACCCACTGAGCTGCTGGCAACACTCAAGTCTCAATCATTTTTAGTGGCTGAATAGTATTCCATGGTATACATATACCACAGCTTGTTAATTCATTCCTGGGTTGATGGGCATTCAGGCTGTTTCCACATTTTGGCGATTATAAATGGAGCTTCAGTAAATAGTCCAGTACAAATGTCCTCATAATAAAAGGATTTTTTTTTCTTCTGGGTAGATGCCCAATAATGGGATTGTAGGATCAAATAGGAGGTCTAGTTTGAATTCTTTGGGATTCTGTAGTCCCACCAGCAGTGTAAAAGTGTTCCCTTCTCTTCACATCCACACCAGCCTGCAGTTTTGAGATTTTGTGATGTGGACCATGCTCACTGGGGTTAGGTGATATCTTAGAGTGGTTTTGATTTGCATTTCTCTGATAATATGTGATGATGGGCATTTTTTATGTTTGTTAGCCAATCATCTAGTTCTTTAGTGAAGGTTCTATACATATCTCAAGCCCATTGATATAAGAGATCGTTGACTTTTTTTATGTTAATTCAAGTTATCTATCCTGGTTAGTAAACTTTTGTCCAAGTCACAATATGCAAATATCTTTTCCCATTCTGATGGTTATCTATTTGCTTTGGTTGTTGTGTCCGTGGCTATACAGAAGCTATTTAATTTAATTAAGTCCCATTTGTTTATTTTTGTTGTTGGAATTGCCTCTGAAGTCTTCTTTATAAAGCCTTTTCCCACTCTGATAACTTCAAGTGGTTTCCTCATACCTTATTTGAGGATTTTTATTGTTCCGTGCCTTAGATTTGGATCATCTTGAATCAATTTTAGCGAGGGGAGAAAGGTGCAGGTCTGGTTTCAATCTTTTGCATGTGGTTATCCAGTTCTCCCAGCACCATTTATTGAATAGGTATTCTTTCCCCCAGTGTATGTTCTTATTTGGTTTATCAAAGATTAGGTGGCTGTACGATGTTAATTTCATTTCATGATTTTCTATTTGGACAAAAACAATTTTTTTAAGCTCCTAAATGAATTTGATTGTCTTTTATAGTTAGAAATTAATTCAGATACAAACCTTTTCTCTTTTTCTTTTCAATATAGTGAGTTTAAATCCTGCCTGGAAGGAACTTGTGGCACAAAGACCACCTTCAGGCCTCATATCTGGGGCCCTTCTCTTCTCTGTTTTGTCTCAGATTATCATCTGCATTGGATTTCAATCTTTGGGGTTTTTTTGGGTCAAACAGCAACCTTGGTATGAAGAATGGCATCCACAATCAGAGTAAGTTGGTCAGTCTGTGTAAAAATCTGTAAAGTGTGTGTAACACTTATGATATAAAAGGACTCTAGAAATTTATGTAAAAGTTTGTGTGTAGATTGATTTAAACCTTTAAATGGTTTGGCCTGGATTCGCCTTTGTTTTATGGTAAGTCCTATTTGTAGGAAGGTATTCAGGTATAGTCCTAATAATCACTGCCAAGGTGGGAACTGTAGACCAGTTTCTTTTTTATTTTGAGACAGACAGAGTCTCACAATGTTGCCTTTGGTAGAGTGCCATGGTGTCACAGCTCACAGCAACCTCAAATTTTTAGGGTTAAACGATTCTCTTGCCTCAGCCTCCGAAGTAGCTGGGACTACAGGCGCCTGCCATAACGCCCAGCTGCTTTTTGTTGTTGTTGTAGTTGTCATTGTTGTTTTGCAGGCCCAGTCCAGGTTCGAACCTGCCAGCCCTGGTGTATGTATCTGGCACCCTAGCTGCTGAGCTATAGGTGCCGAGCCTGTAGACTAGTTAATTTGCTACTGAGCCTTGCTTTTCTTATTTGTAAAATAAGGAAGTTCTTTTTATGTATTAATTCCATCTCTAAGGCCTCTTCAAAACCCAGAAGCATTTGTGCTTTTAACTTTTCCTTCCCCAATTTAGCTTTTTTTTTTGAGACAGAGTCTTACTTTGTCACCCTCAGTAGAGTGCGGTGGCATCACAGCTCATAGCAACCTCAAACTTTTGGGCTCAGGTGATCCTTTTACCTCAGTCTCCTAAGTACTACAGGCACCTGAGACAGGGTCTCAGTCTTGCGCAGTCTGGTCTTGAACTCCTGAGCTCGAGCAGTCTACCCCCATTGGCCTCCAAGAGTGCTAAGGATTGGAAATGGCATTTTTTTTTTTTGAGACAGAGCCTCAAGCTGTCCCCCTGGGTAGAGTGCCGTGGCATTACAGCTCACAGCAACCTCCAACTCCTGGGCTCAAGCGAGTCTCCTGCCTCCGCCTCCCAAGTAGCTGGGACCACAGGCGCCCGCCACAACGCCCGGCTATTTTTTTTTTTTTTTGGTTGCAGCCGTCATTGTTGTTTGGCGGGTCCGGGCTGGGGATTCGAACCCACCACCTTAGGTGTACGTGGCTGGCGCCTTAGCCAGTTGAGCTATAGGCGCTGAGCCGGAAATGGCATTTTAAAACATAAAAAGGAAGAGGTGGAATTATCTTGAAACTCTCTCCAGAATTCATTTGTAGCAGATTAACATTTCACTGCCACTTACTTATATTTAGAGTGGTTAATGTTTTAGTGACAGATGTTGAGGACTCATCATACTTAGTTCTGTGTAGGCCCAACCTGCCCATCTGAAGTGTGGAGAGCCATAGTAGAAACAGACTGAGGCCAGCTCAATGTGAAGTGCTTTTTATTTTTTTAAACACAAGTGATCTTAGTCTCCATAATATATTACCCTGTGATGAGGCAGGTGGTGTCCACATTTAGGACTATAGAGTGATAGAGCTAAGGTCAAACCCATGGTCTGGTTACCTTCACTATGCTAAAATTATTCAGAAAAACTAAGGCATACCTGTCAAATATTTTTTACTTGATTGTAATTTTTAAGTTGAACATTTGACAGAAGAGAAGACCCTTCATATTGTTCTACCTGTTTTATATACCTCAAATTGATATTGAGTATTTTGCTATAAACAGTACTTTGTTATGATAGTGATTCAAGACAGTTAAGGTAAAATTGGTTGCTTTTGAGAAATTAGTATTGTTTACTAATGCAAAATTTTTGTGTGTGTGTTCTAGTGCTTGTAATACAACAGGAGGCCTATATTCGAATTCTTCACACTTAAACAACGAAACTGAACTTGATGAACATAATATACAAAATTATGAAAATACCACAGTGTTTTTTATTTCCAGTTTTCAGTACCTCATAGTAGCAATCGCCTTTTCAAAAGGAAAACCCTTCAGGCAACCTTGCTACAAGAATTGTAAGTTTGGTATTTATTGTGATTTCCGCCTTGCCTTCCCCCCCCTAGAACCAATGTAGAGAGAAGAGCTAAACATACCGTTACTGTCCTTTAAATAGCAAATTAAATCTTCACAGAAAGAACAAACCGAATAATTTTAATGTTTACTGTCTTGTTTTGCTTTCACGACAGTTGCCACCCAGAATTTAAAATTAAAGTCACCAGTGCTAAACATTCCTGGTTTTCACATCCTCTTGCCTCTGGTTTTAATTTTTATTTCTGTAACCCGTTTTGGAGTGCGTTAAAATTGGAAGCAGAAGCAGAGGTTCTTCAGTTGGAACCCTGGGCATTATATTTTCCTTCTAGGTGGTCTGTATGGCACTTGCTGTCTTTGTTTTAGACACTGTTAAAGCCAGTGCTCACCTCTAGAATTCTTCCTTTCTGTCATCTTTGAGGCACTGCAGAGTGGAGCATCGTGCCTGTATGTACACGTATGTCCATGGCAGTAGCATGCAGCATTTTGGTTGCTGAAAATTAGTGTTTATGGGAAAAAAATCAGTTACTATGTATTCATTGCCAGGTTTTAAAAATTGAGGATACACTAATAATATAGAACAAATTTTAGACTTTTGCAGTATCTTGGAGTGAACAGCAATTATAAAATATGCCTCCTGAAAAATACGAAAGGACTGGTCCAGCTGACCTGTACATTTTGCTAGTTTTAACCTCTTGTCATTTATCAGAGTGCATGAACAGTTCTTTGCTAGGACCTGCCTAGGACCTGCCGTTTGTTTTCTATTTATATACAGTGTATCAGCATAATGTATTAAATTGGTTTGGGGATTACTTTTAAAAATTAATCTCAGTTTTAGACATTTAAGGCCTTCTTTCCAGAGTTTTTTGCTTTCTACCCATTCTGTTTCATTCTGTTTATTTTTAGTATATTTTTTTAGCAGTACCTCTTTTTCTTCTCAGGCTAAACAAAGATAGATTCTATTCTTTTTTTTTCTCCTTCACATATCTTTTTTTGGAGGGTGGGGGCAAGGTGTCACTGTGTTATCCAGGCAGTGGCCTGATCATAGCTCACTGTCACCTCTCTTTAGTCAGTGGTTACCCATTTTCAGCTTTAGCTTAGTGCAGTTCTATTTTCTTATTTGACTATGTTTTCGTTTCATCATGCATTTTAAGTGCATGATGATATGCACTTAATTCTTATAATCAGATGTGATTTCTTGGGGTTTAGTTTCAAATTTTTTTTTTTTTGAGACAGAGTCTCACTTTGTTACCCTGGTAGAGTGTTGGTGGTGGCATAGCTCACAGCAACCCCAAACTCTTGGGCCCATGTGATTCTCTTGCTTCAGCCTCCCAAGTAACTGGGAGTACAGGCACCTGCCACAACGCCTAGCTGTTTTTAGAGATGGGGGTCTCACTCTGGCTCAGGCTGGTCTTGAGCCCTTGAGCTCAGGCAGTCTACCTGCCTCGACCTCCCAGAGTGCTAGGATTATAGGCATGAGCCAACGTGCCTGGCCTTAACATCATTTCTTTTTTTGCTGAAGTTTCTTGCTTGATTTTCACAGTTTACTGCTTATGAAATCCAGTCCCTTTCTCTATGAAGCCGTTATTACCAAATTGCCAAAATCTCTCCTATCAGGGCCTATGTATCATTTTCCTACTCATTTGCCATAACCAAAGTGGTTGAAACAGTACAGATACCTAGAGGCGTACAGATTAAAGTAGACTTCCCAAAGATAAGTGACTGAGTAAAAAGGAATGGATATAACAATGGTAGAAATTTGTGGTTATAGGTCAGAGGCCCCAGTTATTGTTTGGGGAATGAACAAGAGAAGTATATATTAGTGTATTCATTTTATATAAGGTTTTATTTCTGAGTCATTAAGGGAAATAAGGAAGAAAATCTTTTATGGTGCCTGATTTTAGTGCTATTTCCATCAATAAATCTTTGTTGGCATAAATTGTAGCATTATTAATAATAACTTGAATTTACATATTTTATATTTTGAATACTTAAAAATCTCTTTTCTGTGGGATCCTCATCATATCTTCGTTTTATAGATAAAATAATTTGACTTTGAATGACTTGTTGAGGTTCATATAGCTTTGTAGAATAACCAGTCTAAAACTAAAGGAACAGTCTCCCCAGTCCATGGTCATCATCAACACAAAATTTGTTTTGATAGTTGTTTTTTTTTTTCTTCTTCTTCTTGAAGCAGAGTCTAACTTTGTTGCCCTTGGTAGAGTGCTGTGGTGTCATAGGTCACAGCAACCTTAAACTCAAGGGCTCAGGTGATCCTGTTGCTTCAGCCTACTGAGTATCTGGGACTACAGGCACCCATCACAATGCCCAGCTAGTTTTAGAGGTGGGTCTTGCTCTTGCTCAGGCTGGTCTTGAACCTGTGAGCTGAGATGATCCACCTGCCAGCCTCTGGATTGCTAATATCATGTGATAGCTTTTTTTTTTTTTGAGACAGAGCCTCAAGCTAT